CCTGATGCTGCATCTGTCCCATGCCACCTCTAAGACCAAGAACTGAGCGATCAAAGACTGATGATTGCTCAGTTGTTGGTTTTCAGTGAACAGAAAGCCTGTCAGTCAGTCAGTCTCTCTTCTCTGCCCCGCACTGGAGTGCCAGGCTGTGGAAGGGATGGGAACGGATGGCTCAGGTGGCTCTAATTAGCTCGTTTAGAGGCTGAGCCAGCAGCAGTTCAGTCATCAGGGTGGATCCCAACATTAAAATCTGGATCCCTCCAGAGTCTGGACTGCCTGAGTGATGTCAGCTACCAGTGGACTTTAGCCCACAGAAGGCAGAGTACAGGTCACAGGAGTGCAGAGCTAAGTGCACTTCTGTGAGCCACAGGAAAAGTAGGGCCAAAAGAGGTTTGGCCTTACTTTTCCTTTAAAGGACCTTAAGCCTCAAAGTGATATCAGATGAGTCTGCAACAATCATCTGATAGAACTTAGTGAACATCTGAACATAAGATTAGGTGGCACTTGTTGATGCCAAAAAGCCCAAGAAGCCCTCACAGATCTAGTAGAGAAACCCTTGACAGGAAAGGAAGGGAACCGGAGACAAAGCTTGAATGTCAGTCTGTCTGAGCCACCTATAGATAAGGCAACAGGAAGTTTGTGTATTTTTACAGTGATAATTCACAATGACAGTCATTTAGGGCTGAAAAAAAGACTCTCACAGCCCGAACCACATTCAGACAAATTTCTGGTAAGCTAGACAGAGAAACAGAAAAACAATGTCCTGGATGAGGCGAAGAAAGTATCTTAGGCAAGAAGGAAGACTTGGACCTCAACATCACCTTGTCACTATGCACAATCAGAAAGTGTTCTTTGCAGGATAAGGCCACCAGTTCAGACACTCCCCTCACTGAGGTGATCAACAGATCGCTGGTGCCATGCAGGACTCCTGCAGACCTGTCAGTGTGCATCTGCTTGCCTATACAAGGTACAGACAGATACACTGACAGGAAGAAACAATGAACTACCACAGTGCTCTACAGCGCTGTGGTAGTTCATTGAAAACTACAAGCCGATAGCTGCAAAGCCTGTTGTAGTTTTCCCATTCACATAGTACTGTGAGTGAGTGACGCAGCCGGGCGGGCAGAGCCTTTCATAACCACTTTTTTTTAAATTTTGACAGCTAGCGGGTGGGAGAGGGGGAGTCAGTCCTTTTGTAGCATGTTACACCTTGAATATGGGTGTAAAAATTTTACGAAAAAGGTAAAATTATCCTTTAACCTCAACAGAGAAAAATCATGTCCTGAATCGGTGTGGTTGGATTGTGTAAATCTCAGGATTGGATGACACACAATTATACATTTTGCAGGTAAAATGGCTCATTTATATGTATTTCAACTGTGTATTTCGTTATGTTACTGGATTCCAGATTTATTTTTTTCCAACCTAACAAGCTGCCAGTGTTATTTGTTGTGAACAATAGTTCTCTATGTATAAATATTTCAACTTCATTTTGCTGATCGTAAAGCTGGGTATACACAGTTTTTTTGTTCAACTCACAGATCCCTGCATCCACGCAAGCGATGTGGATGCAGGGATTTCTCCTGCTTTGTTTGGCCTCCTTCACACGGCTGGGCTGGCAGGCTGACAGCGGCCGCTGCTGTTTGCATACAGCCGTACACACAGCAGTTAGTTACAGATAGGGACAGATGTCCGAGTCCAGACGCAGTCAGATGCATCCAGGCTCTGACATCTGTCCCTGTCCAGAGCTAACTGGCCAGTTTTGTCACATGCATACCCAGCTGAAATCTGACACACTGATTAACACTTGCTACCTTAAGGTGTCCACTGACATGGGTTTTAATAGTATGTGTTTGCAGACACAGATGGCTGAGAATTCACAGCAAAAACAGCAATTAGACCAGATAGAAAACCTAACCTGATTACTATTATTAAAGTCAGGTAGCACAAGAAATTGCCTATGCACATCTCTACCCCTTGTCAAAAAGGTATAAACACAAAAGTTCAGTCAAGCATTCATGTTTATGCAGAAAGCTCGAAATGTCTATACATGGTTGAACAATGCCTGCATGTCCACCTGCCCTCTGAAATCTACGGCCAGCCTAAATCTGATTTAAAAAAAAAAAAAAAAAAAAAAAGAGGTCTCAACATCCTAACAATACAGTCTCTGTTTTTATTACAAAAAAAAACACTAAGATTGAAGTAAACAGCTATGATAAATTAAACAAACAATACATTTCTGAGTTTAAACGATGTAGTTAACAAGTAAAGTGAATATCTTGCACATCAAATAAATAGAACAAAAAGTGGAGACAATTGGTACACAATACAGACTGGCTCCTCAACAGTAGGGATGATATTGGATTTGGCTCAAACTTGGTTTCGGACAAAATCCAGAAAGAAGATGCCATTCCCGCTCACCGTAACCCAATCCTTGTGGGGAATGCCCTGGCCACTGTTGAATCGAGGGCAGTGACTGGGAGTGACAGCTTCCTTCCAGGTTCGGTCTGATCCCAAGTTTGGACCAAACCCAAGTCCAACCCTATTTATCAGCTAATTTGGTCCCCTAGGGTTTTGCAACATGTAGGAGCCACACCTTGGATTCCTTGGAAATGGAGTCACTTGCTGAAGGAGCCCAATATCATTGTTCCTAAAGCCAGATAATTATTTTCCAAGAAAAAAAAAAAAAAAAACCCTAAAGGCCTCATACACGCAAGGGCCTAAGGAGCACACTCAACATATCTAGTGAATGAGGCAATGGGGGCCAATATTAGCAAATGTAGGGGCCAAAAGCAGCTGATAGAAATGATCAAAAGCGAACAAAAGACTACTGCAGGCTCCTAAATAAACTGGCCTGCTGTTATAACGGAACAAAATCTTGTTTTCCTAACGGAACTAGACAGTACCAAAATAAAATTTAAAGGACAGGAACCTAGGCGATACAAAAAGTTACAAAATTAGTTTTCCTATCCTTGTATTTCAGCTCCTCATCTTACAATTCTTAAGGCTTCACACTGTTCCAATGCATTACCAAATGCGCTTTAGGCCTGGTTCACACCAGTGCGACTTCAGGTGCAACATGCGATTTACAAATCACACCTGAAGTCGCATCTAATGTATTTCTATAGCACTGTCTTAATCAGTGTGATTTGAAGTAGCACGACTTCAAAAATAGTTCCTGCGTTACTTTTTCCCAATTTCATTGCGACTTGCACCGACTTCTGTTCAATGAAATCGCAAGCCGCAGTAAAATCGGTACAAATCGCACTGATCTGCGACTTTAAAAATCGCGCTACTTCAAATGAAGTATTGCTTTTTTAAAGTTGCATTCAGTGTAAACCAGGACTTAAATGTGTGTTACATTAAGGCAACATATTCATTTTAAATGGGCTGCCAAGTACCACAACAGGCATTTTAACAGACATGTACTTTGTATTTTTTGCAGCACACCACAACACAGATGATTTAGATCTATACATTTTGGTATGCTGACAAGGTGTCAATTTGCAAATAAAAATTACAGCCACAGAGTCAATACCTTGCATTGCAGTAAAATGTAAATTTTACCACGCATTAACAAAATTGCACAGATGTGAATCTAGCCTAAGAACTGTGCAACACAGACATGCTTCCCTTCAGAAATCGCATATCATGTCATCGTGAAGAGCATACGCATCGATGGATGCAAGTTATTTTTGTTTTTCAAAAGGTGCATTTGTGCTAAATGTCAGGTTTCTTGAAGCATTCATAATAACATAATGAGCTCACCAAAAATGATTGTCTGCCTAAATCATGTACAGATGCCTTTAACAAATAGAAATGCTGTCACTCCACATTAAATCTTTTCCCAGTGGTAAATATCAACTGAGTAGATTGGAAAGTTACATTAGAAATATCTTCAGCTGTAATCGATGCAACAACCCTGATGGTGTATTCAGTCAAAACTTTCCAGGCTGTAAATTCAGGAAAAGAGACGGTTACTAATGTCTCCTAAAACAAGTTCTCTAGCACTGCGCCCATCTTTGTCATAAGATTTTCAGGTGGGTGCTTTGTTGAAATAGAATTCACACTCTGACTTAACTAATTTATATTAGTTTTTTTTGTTTTAATTCTCTGCAATTTGAAGTCAAAAGCATTTAATTTTCACTGTTTCAGCAGATATCTGCCAGTTTAAAAAGCATGTGCAAACACCTGGATAACATGGACGGGCAAACTAAAGTAAGATTTAGTGGCTGGTCATGCCAATCCAGAAACCAACAGGCATTCCAATGAGCCAAAAGACTAATTTCTAATCAACAAAATAACAGCTATGACTTTTCAGGACCTTTGGCACCTGTCAGTTTGCCTGCACAGCATAAAGCTACTTGTTCAGTATACTATGAAGCAGTAAAACTTTGTCCTACAGCTACAGAGCAGTTTTAAATCCAGCATGACATACCAGAACACAGAAAACTATGGTCAAGAAGATGTCCTCCATAATGATGACCTTCTGTGTTAAAGTATAGATTTCAGCAACTGTAACTAGACCTTCATATTTATATTACTGGCAATCTAGTTTTATACTTCTGGGAGAAAATCAGTAGACATTAGTACCACAATGGTTGGCAGCAAAATATTAAGTCTGGAATATTAACAAGCGACATTCACAGCTGGACTGGACTCTGTTCTGAAAAGTCCAGTAAGAATGAGTTCAGTAGCTACTCCAAAAGAAAGGATTATTGAAAGGCCCCAAGTGAAGTAAAGCAGAGAGAGAAACAAAAATAAGCAAAACAGAATTGGAACAGATGACAGACGAGCAAGTATGCTTGGGAGCAAAAAAAAAAAAAAAATGAAATTAAATTATAGAAGACAAAAAGGAGGAAAGTCAATTCAAACTGGGAAAAAGATCAAAAAAACCTGAAGAAATGTAAAAGGAAAACTGAAATATGAAAAGGCAAGAACTATTGAGGTGGAAAAGGCTGGTCATTAAATAAGCCGACTCATGGGCTTTTGTCTTCTACCTTGTACCCAGAACTGGATTTGGGCCCTACAGAACGTTTGGTGCTCTCCTTTTTGGGGGTTGATTTTTCTTTTGCTTTTGGTTTTGCAGGAAGAGCGTCGTCCTGAGTATCCTGTGCATTTTCTCCATCAGACACGTTCCCAGATGAACTACCCTTAAACAGAAATGCACATATGAAAACTGTTAGCTAAACTAAACTCATTTATACCCAAGTTACATATGAACTGCACGTCTTCAAAACATCCAGATAAATAAATCACATGCAAAAGAAAGTTTGCTGTTCAAATTACGTATACCAAGTCCATATTTTTGAGATTTAAAAAAAAAAAAAACAAAAAAAAAACAGCTGTGTCCTTTCCAGAAATGCTGGACAGCATTTCTGAAAGAATTATCAAAGTACAGATCGACAGAGACACAACCAGATGCTACTTACACCAAAAATTAGAAACCCGTTTAACCAAAATTGTGACCCCCCCCAACTATTTTTCCTATAAAAAGGTGCAACAGGCATGTACTGTACCTTTTCACTTCAGAGAGGCACTATCCTACAATAAACATAAAACAGGACTTGTGTATTCAAACCTGTTTAAAAAGATGACAGTGAGGCGGACATGCTTCTGCCATTCAATCTATACACCTGCAATACGGCTCTAAGGACTGAACTGCATGTCCAAATGCATTATCATTGACTGTCTCTCTCTGCCATATAAACGCACAGATCCAGCTGTGCCATACACATTTATCAGGTGGCTAATCCACGGTCTACATGAGAACTGTGCACCATATCTATACTCTCTGCCAGAGTGTTTATTAGGGAAATCTGTGGACAACCTACAATCCCATACTTGGGTTCACTTCCACATATCACCTCATCTGGGGACTGTCTGTGATCACAATTACAGTCATCAGTTTTGATTCTGCCATTAATCTGCACACTGTCCCTTGATTCCACTATATGCTGGCGGTCCTTAGCATTTCATTTGATAACATAAGACCAAAGGTCATATAGTATCTCCAATTGCTTGCTAATCGAGTGTGTGGTGCTTGTGGTTTGGACTGGGATCCCGGTACGGGTGTTTTATTATATGGCAACATTGCCATGGTTTTAATTGTGTCAGGTGGAGGGTGCTGTAGCTTTTTGTATTTTGCCATTACAATGTCAATATTATGTCTTAAGCCGCAGAATGTTCTCTTGAGGACTTCTTTTCTAGTGGAGTCTCACCCACTAGTTCACTTTTCTACTAGATTGTTTTGGTCCTGAGGACACCACCCTAGGATTCGGGTAAGTCAGCATATTTACTATATATTTAGCTCTCATTTTATGTGCTTTGGGATCCCATTTTAGGTTTTTGTTACATTTGATATGCTTGGAGGCACATAGACTGACCTTTGCAAGTGCATTTGCTCCAGAGCTTAATAAATGAGGGGACACTCTGTTGACTTCCATCATCCAATCATGTGCAAACAAAAATATACTTTTTTTTTTTTCTCCCTTGAACAGGATTTGGAATTCTTTGCAAAGTGAAGCTTCACCTCTTTAACCAAGCTCTGGAGCAATTGCACTTGCAAAGTGCACAGTCTTTTTACATTTAGCAAATCAACCCCAGTACCTTTTACCATGTTCTGTACAATGCTGTGACTCCTAGGTTAGGTGCACACTATAAAATATAAAAAATTATTATTTCCTGTTTTCCATTATGTGCAATATTTGGATATTGAAAGAAACAGACTTACCGAGGATCCTTTGATTTTTTTCTTCTCACTGCGTCCTTCATCAACCTCATCAGAATCACCATCACTGTCAAATGCCAACAGTTCGGGATCGAGAGGGTCTAATGGAGGCTCATACAAGGCTGTGTTTAATGGCAAGTACCGAAGCTCATTGGGAGAATACCTGTAAAGTAAAGACAATGTTTCTTCTGAACACTAATTTAAGCACCAACTACAGGCAGTCCCCGGATTACAAACAAGATAAGAACAAACCTACAGAACCTAAGTCAAATTTGTATGTTGGCTGGAACAGGTATATTTTTTCAGTAACTTCAGCCAAAATAATATTTTTAAAGTTTTGGATAGCACAGGGAAGTTTTACCTGGCCATGTAGTGACGTGGGATTGCTGACAGGTCTGCCAGACTGTAGGTGGCAGCATGCGTGAGCAGCAAGATGGCTGCCCAGCTACTTATGGGACCAGCATGACATCACGATGCCTCCATTCTTAAGTACGAGTTGTATACAAGTCGGAGGTTTGTAACTCTGGGACTGCCTGTATAGAAATCTGCAAAGAAGCTAGACAATTTTTGTAATTGACAGTTTCTTTTCAATACTTTAAAGGCACTTGTTATTACCAATATCACCACAGGAGAGAGTTATAAAACAAGATCACATGGAGACTATGTATAGAGAAAATGTAAAAAGACTTTTGTTAGGCATTACAACTGATTTCATGAAATGGTTACCAACCTATATTAGTATAGTACCTATCTATTGCAAGGGGGTGGTTCCCTTAGAATGCTAGGGTGCATTATATGTGTCATTTATGGTTTTTAATTGATTTTCAAATTTTGAACCAATCAACTTTGTACATTTTTTTTTATTAATCAGTTGTAGTGCCTAAAATGTTTAGGTCTGTACATTTTCTATATACATTATTCTGTGCATAAGATGTGGCACTGAATAACAGATTATAGACCAGGCTCCACAAAGATTACCACCTAATGGTTTTTTGTGATCTTTTACTTTCAAGTTAAAGATCACATGGAGAGGCAAAGGACACAGATGCGTGCACACTCACACCCCTTGCTGAGGTTGATAGAAGCAGAATACCCTCATACTGCCCCATCTTTATTAAAAAAGGACTCTACCCTCAGTTTCTGAAGATTTCTATTATTGGCTACAACACAAGCTGTTCAGCGGTCCTGGCCAATGATTTAGGACTGGAAGCTGCTGAGCGAATGATGGAGATAAAATAGTCACATTGTTTAGTAAAATCAGCAGCACACTTTACACACATTACACTTGTTAGGCACACACTTAACCCTTTGATTGTCCCTAGATGTTAACCCCTTACCCAGCCAGTGTCATTAGCACAGTGACAGTGTATATTATTGGCACTGATCATCATCAGTGTCACTTGGGATGTCAGTCAATTCCCACCAAACATCTATGTCAGACTGCCCACCACAAGTCACTGATCAGTGCCATTACTAGTATTAAAAAAACAAAACAAAAACAAAACACCCACACAAACAAGTTGCCATTACTAGAGAATATATATAAAAAACAAAAAACCACACTTCATGTGGGTACAGTGTTGCATGACTGTACAATTGCCAGTTAAAGTAGTGCAATGCCAAATAGCAAAAAATGGTCTGCTCATGAAGGGGGTAAATTATTCCAGAGCTGAAGTGGTTACATTCATTTTTCCCCTTAATCTACACTCAGTATGACAAAGTGAAAACAGAATTTTAGAAACGTTTGCAAATTTATGAACAAGGAAGCCCTTCTATTTCTCTTGATCATTGCCGAGATGAGTCTTTCAGGACGGTCACATGAGAAAAACGCTCAGTCTCACACAGAAAACACAAGCACAGACAGGAGGCAGCCTTTTGGGCGGCCTTTTAAACCTTAGTTATACAAAGATTGATCAGACAGCAACAAAACAGATTTTGTTTCACAACATTTATCACAAGCACAAGTCAGGACGGGAATCCACCCGAGGATTCCTGGAAAGGGAGCTGTCAGGTAATAACTCAGACTTTCCAATGTCATCCTCCAGGACTGTCACATGAGACCCCAAAGATGCCTACCTAGGGTGAGACTACTACTTGAAGATTTTTGTGCCCGAAGGCGAGATCTTGGGCAGAGACCAAATCCTGTGCCTTGCAAAAGTAGAATCGCTGATCCAAAAGGCTGCTTTGTATTGCGTCTGCTCAATGGAAGTCCCTGCCCTCTTAGCCCATGAAGTAGCGACTAGTCGAGTAGAGTGAGCCTTAATGCCTGAAGGACAAGTTATATTTTGTGACGTGTAAGCCATAGCAATGTTAATTTTAATCCATCTGGCTATGGATTTTTTTTGAGTGAGGCTTCCCTTTGTGTACACCTCCAAACAAGACAGAGAGCTGGTGATGTTCTCCAAGATTTGGCAGCTTCCAAATATTGAAGGACACATTTCTGGACATCTAGTGAGGCAAAATTGCTCTCCTTGATTGCTAGGATTTTCACAGAAGGATGGTAGCACCACTTCTTGAGTTCTATAGAATGCTGACGCTACTTTAGCTAAAAATAGTGAATCTGTCTTAAGTACGAGTCTGTCTGGAAAAACTGTTAGAAAAGGCTCCTTCCCAACTTGCCCTCCAGAGGATTTACCCCCCTTCCTGACCAGGCCATTTTTTGCGATAAGGTGTTGCATTACTTTTAACTGACAATTGCGCAGCCATGCAAAGCTGTACATAAATGCAATTTAAGTCCTTTTTTCCCCCCCACAAATAGAGCTTTCTTTCGGTGGTATTTCATCACCCGATATTTTTGAAAAACAAAATATATATATTTTTAACTTGTTGCTATAAAACATATCCAATTGAAAAAAAAATCTAAATCTCTTCATAAATTTATGTCGAAATGTATTTTGCTACACGTCAGCTAAAAAAAAAAAAAAAAATCACGTGTATAAATTAATTTGTTTCCGTGAAAGTTATAGCATCTACAAATGGAGGTATATATACTAAAATTTGTATTTTTATTATACTAGTAATGGCGGCAATCAGCAACTTATACTGTGGCGGGCATTCTGACACTGGGTGGGAACTGACTGCCGCTGACAACCCCAGTGATCAGTGTTAATAAGAAGACCTGACACTGTACTAATGACACTGAGCAGGAAAGAGTTAACATCTGGGGCGATCAAAGGGTTAACTGTGTGCGTTTTACATTGCGTGCTGTGTTTTATTATGGAGTCATGCTGCTTTGGATTTCACTCCTGTGCAGTGAAATACAAAGCAGCATGTCCTTGCTGACAGAAGAGACCTGTGTTATTTACACACAGGTCTCTCCCCTGTCAGCTTTCCCCAATGATCGCCGAGTGCCGTCCAGGACCCGGTTATTGACATCCCTAGCCGCCAACAGCAGCGCAAATGCATGCCCCCTACCCGGAGATACAAAACACAAACACGTGATTTTGTGCAGCCCTGCCACCCTGTAGCAGTACTTTTGCTATAGGGCAGCGGGCAAGCGGTTCATGAATAAGGCCTATAACTCACTTCTAGCTGAAGAAATGGCCACTAAGATTGCAACTTTGAGCGTTAAAACAATTCACTGATGTCTCTTCCAATGGCTCAAATGGATCTCTGGTCAAGGCTCTCAAGAATACAGAGAGGTCCCAAGGTGCCACCTTGACTGATTTGCAGAGACAATTTCTTGAAATAGCTTTGAAGAACCTCTTCACCATAGAATTTTTGCTCAAATGGGAAGTCAAGAAATACGAGTGCTGCAGAATGGACTTTGAGGGTGCTCACCGATAGTCCTACCTCCACTTCATCCTGTAAAAAAAAAAAGTCTAGTACAGTAGCCAGCTGTCTGATTTTTGTTATCAGGAGTTATCATCGCCAAGTACTTTTTCCAATTTTTTAGTGTAAATTTTCCTTGTTACTGGTTTTCTACCGTTTAGCAGGGTACCAGAGTAAAAAAAAAACCTTTGTTCAGTAAAACTGACAATTCAGGATCCAAGCAGCCAATTTCAGTTCTTGGTTGTGGACAGAAAATACACGACTGTCAATAAGTCTTCCCTTGCCAGAATTCAGGGAGACTCTTCAGCCATGTTCTCCAGCGCAGAAAAACAGGCCCATTTTGGCCAAAATGGGGCTACTGGAATCAGTGGGATGGGTGGAAAGGCATAGTCCAGATTGAATTTCCATGGAAATCCAGAGAGTCTATCCCCAAAGACTCCAGTTTTCTTCAGGGGAAAAAAACCCCCCATCTTGCTATTACTTGGAGGAAGACTACCTGGTTCAACTCCCATTCTGTCGGTCCTAGTTGCCTCCGGGTTAGAAAATCCTCCAATATGTTTTCTGTACCCTTGATATGTATGGCAGAGATGGATGCCAGGTTTGCCTCTGCCCACGTTAGAAGGCAGTGGGCTATACTCATGAGGATCTTTGATCTGGTGCCTTCCTGGTGACTGATGTAAGCCACAGTAGTGGCATTGTCGGAAAGTATGAGAACATGATGGTTGCTGACTTCTTCCTTGAAACCTAGGATAGCCCCATGAACCGCAGTCAGTTCCCGCATTCTAGAAAATGCAGTACTCCTCTCTCCACCCCCCACACCAACCTTCCTTGCCGCATTGCCTGGTTCAGGTAAGCACCCCCACCCAGATGTGCTTCAGTCTTTGATTATGCATATCTGAATAGGGAGTGTCTAAATCCTTCCCTCCAACAGCTTGGTTTCCTGTGTCCACCACTGTAAAGAGTCCTTGACAGTTGGCAGAATGCCACTGGGTTCTTCTAGTGACTATTTTCCCATCCCAATGACCCAGTAGATGGGCCTGGAGAGGTCTCATATGCAGCTGTGCCCACTGTATCGCTGGGACAGAGGCTGACATTAGACCCAGGAGCGACATTACCATTCATTTCAAGACTAACTGGGCCTGAATTTATTCTCTTGAGAAGTGGAGATTAAGGGGGGATATGATTAACATGTATAAATACACCAGTGGTTCATATAATGAACTCGTGAACACTGTGTAGAGGTATTCACCCTGAGGTCATCACAGAGGACAAGGGGGCACTCTTTACGGCTGGAGGAAAAGAAATTTATTCTCCAAAACACGGAAAGGTTTCTTCACAGTGAGAGCTGTGAAAATGTGGAATAGACTCCCCCAAGAGTTGGTTCTGGCCAGCTCAGTGGATTGCTTAATATAAAAAAAAAGATCAGGAAGGAATTTTTTTCCCCAGCAGAAGGAAATTGGATCATGCTTTGCTGGGTTTTTTTTTTTTTTCCTCGATCAACTGTGGGTATAGAATTATAACTTTTTTTTTTAATTGGTTGAACTGGATGGACTTGTCTTTTTTTCAGCCAGACTATGTAACTATGAAGAGCGGTGTCAACTCTGAAGCCCAAAAAGACCACTCTCTGCAAAGGGCAGAGATTTGATTTTTTCAAATTCAGTTTCCAACTCAAGGATTTCAGAAATTGTCCTGTTATCCACAAATTGTCCAGGACATCTTCCTTTGTCCTGGAAAACATAGACATTGTCTAAATTATGGAATTATTGAAACACCTTTCACTCTCTATTCCTACATTACTTCCACCATTATCTTGGTGAATATGCGACGGGCTGATGCCAGACTAAATGGGAGAGCTCTGTATTGGAAATGTTGCCCTCTGGTCCCCTCCTTTATTGCAAGCCTTAGATATCTTTAATGTAATGGATGGATTTGCACATGCAGATAGGCATCCCTTAGGTCTAGGGTTATTAGAAACCTTAACTGTGGAAGAATGGACCTTAATGTGAAGATGCTTTCCATCTTGAGCTTCCTGTAAGTTACAACTCTGTTCAGAGACTTTAGGTTTAAGATTAGTTGGTACTTCCTTGATGGTTTCACTCATGAACACGTGAGAGTAGAAACCATACTCCTGCTGAGAAGGTGGCACCTCTGATATTATGTTCTCTTCTAGTAGGTAATTTCTTTTTTTGAAATTCAGAAAATCTTTGAAAAATGGCCATGATTCCTCACCCACAATCTTTTTAAAAGGTATTTGTGACAGAGGAGCTTATCGCCATCTGAGGGAATTTCGACTCCACAGGTACGGCAGTATTTCCTTTTCTTGGGTTTGTCCAAGGGGTCAGAGACCTCTGGTGGTCTAGGCTGTCAAAAGAAAAAGGTAAGGTCCCAGCCTTTGCTCCCCCCCACCCCCTCCATTTCCAGTGGACTTACCCCGCCAACCCCAATATGGCCACCACTCCATTCCTTTTGTTTTCGGCACCATCTTGCAAGGACGTCACTTGCCTTCAGTGGCCATTTTAGTACACGCCTGCTCGAGGAGGAAGCCACCAGCTTTCTGCAGGGGACAGACCCCATGACCTCTCAGTCTGTCCGCATGATCCAACAAAGGGGATGTGGCGGAAGAGCACGCAGAGAACCAGACCTCACAGCTGGTGCACAGGTCCTGCTGGAGGTCCCTCCCGTCACCATTTTTCTGTTGGTGTCAGGAAAACACGTCAGAAGTGACTCATGCAGATAGAGAAAAGAAGCAGTAGAGAGAGATGACAGTGGTCTTAATTGAGAGAAGTACACACTAAAGAGGGATATGCTTTGTTCATATTTCATGTCTGAGGTTTCCAAACATTTTAATGCAGAGAATGCCAGAAGAAAAAAAAAAAAAAAAAAAACTAAGGCTACAGTCATTTGCCGGTGGTTGATCTTTGCCTTTTACGACAAAGATCAACCACAATGGTGAAGAGATCCTTTTTATTACGTTTGACCAGTCAGTTTGGCAAATCAAAAGTTACATATAAGACAGGAGGGGAAGATAACCACCTGCTTGTGAGAACAGAATTCTGAAGAGCGTCTTCCACTGCTTAATCCGTAAAGGTCCTGAAAGACAGGTGTGTCTTCACAGACTCTCCAAAAGTGCATGCTTTAGTGGTCAGGCTGCAAGCAGCACCAGAGCCATTACAGCATGAGCTGGGGGCACCAAAGACAGTGGAACTGTCCCCGTGTCTAGAATAAGACATGTTGCAAATGTGTAGTGATAAGGCATCATAAGCTCTAAGTATGAGGCTCAGCCTTTGGTGTACACAAAACCTAAACCGGAGGTAACAGGTGAGGGTTGAAAGCTGGTGGTGACTGCACCCAGTAGGAACAGAACGAAGACTGGAATTCCACGTGGCTTTTTGCAAAAACAGGAGCAGCGTGGAGTTGCTTTCTCTAAACTGAATGATGGATGGCATCAGCATTCAGTCCAATAGTGTTAACCTCTTCTGGGATGAAAACTAGCATAAAGCAGGAATGTTCAAAAAGGCACCCAGCGGTCAGAAGAAATAAGGTTGCTCCTGATGCTCAGCCTGATCGTCCTACTCACAGAGTAAGCCGACTGAGACAGGGCAAGCACTGAGGCAATACCAACAGCTCTGGACCTGGAAAGCACTGCTTTGCTAAACTTTTAACAGAATAGGGTCTGGAATGTGCCTTATGTAGAACCCAGTACCTGAAAGGGACTTGAAGACTAGCCCTGCAACAACATCCTGTCCAGTGGGGACAATTGTAGAAATCCAAAGGTCAAGCTAATCATAGGCCTTGCCAGATAGCTGCCATCAGAGACCAGCTCTAGCAGCAATGTTGAGAAGAGTCTTGCCTGAAGAAAAATACTGTCCAACACTCCCTATGTTGACAATATATCTCAATCAGTTATATACTCACAAGCAGTTACATTTTTAATAAAAACAAACATTCTCTGGGCACGTGTTATTGCTTTACAACCATTCTTATTGCCCGTTTGTACATTACATACCATACAGTAGCGGTGTTTTTTGCATAATGGAGTAATACATGGATGTGCTTTACTGACTCACCTCTATGTCTACCACAATTCTTGAAATCTGAAATATAATTTCAAACTAGATATGCCTGCTTTCACTTCTTCTAGCCCCAATTCAAGTATTCTATGTAGTTATGATGCATATTTTGTCCCAATGGCAGACAGCCTTTTTCAAATGAATGAATGGAGATGGCATTGAACAGACTGTAGCACCCAGCAAAGATTGCAGAGGGATCTCAAAACACTGTTACTTTGTTCTGTTTTTACTGCACCTCTCTCATATGTCAATACATAAGCTAATATGTATAATATCTTTAGCTGATAAAACAAGAAATACAGACCTTTTGTAATATTCTTGAAACTGTCCAGGTATAAGGGAAACAGGATAAGGACTCACTTTCGTCGTTTCAGAAGGCAGAATTTTGTACTTTCCCTGAGGTACCTGTATTACCTATTCATCAATGGCAAAAAAATACCTCATTAAAATAACAGTTCCTTCAAAACAAATAGGCAACAAAACCAGGAATTCTCAGATATGTACATTGATGATGAATTCCAAGTAAGGATATTTTCACATAGTTATAGTGGGCTAGCTTGGACCAGTGAAGCTATGCATACACTATATGTGGCCAATCCCAATGGAAGCTAGAAACACCGCTACTACAGTGATTTCCACTAGCTTCCAGGTCCTATACCAAGCAGCTGCCATACTGAACTGTGAACAAAGGAAGTCACACACAACACACAGGCACCATTCAAAGAACACTTTGTATTTTCTCAACGAATGCAAGTTCTGATGAGATGGAGAGGCGGGGCATAGAGGTGACATCACAATTTCCACCATGCGTCCTATGAGAAATACATGTGCTGAGCAGCTGACCTCTTGTGTCAGGGCATCACTGAATCAGCTTTTTAAGGAAACCTGTAAACTTGAAGAAAATAAGCGGCTGGCATTGCCAACATCCACTGTTAATTGCTAGCTGCCTGGTTAGTATGCTGATCAGCTGCTTCAAGATTTTGTGTCCTTGATTGGACCAATTAAGCAGCTAGTGCAATCAGATCTGATCTGCATGATTTTTTCAAAACAGCATTAAACCAGCATAACAGCCATACAAGCACTATCCATCTACATGTTTATCCAAGTACAGGTTCTGTTTTGGCTGCATTCACACCTACAGAACCTGGGCAGAAATGCACAATCCAATGTACATCACACCTGCATTGCCATTATTTCTTAGAGGTACAAGTCCTGCGTTTTGCCATGTGGCAAAACTCCCTTTGCTCAGTGGAAAAAAGGCACTTGAGACACTTTGGTGCGTTTGTTCAATGTAGGAAAGTCCATTTAAGTGAATGGGCCACCCTATGCACAACATATGGAAATGCGCAAAAAAAAGAAAAAAAAACAAAAACAAAAAAGCATGTGCTGGAATGTGTGTTCCCAATACACCTAGAGTGAATGGGGGCTTTAAAGAGGTTGATAAAATGCTCTGTCTTACATGAGTCTGTAAGTCAAAATACGCTCTTCTCTCTTCCATCCTTTCACGATTTAAATTGCTGTTGAATTCTGCAGCTTTTTTGGCAGCTTTCTTGATGTACTCTGGAACTTTGCTTGCTTCTACTTTCTGTGTATTTTGTTGCTGTTGTTGCTGTAAAAACACAATATTCTAGTTAGAAATAACAGGCACATCATTTAGTCTATTATTAAATATAATTTGACAGCAAAACTGTGTTTACTTTCCCTGTTTCATCCTGATCACATACGTCATTCTGAATATCTTCAGTAGTCATCTGTCGCAGAAAAATATTGGTATAAAAGCAGTTTGTGCTGTGGTTCTTAAGCCACTTAATGTATTTTTTAAACCCAACAACTATTATGAGCACTCCAAACTTTTTTTTTTTTTAAAAGAATGTTGCGTAAAAAAATTGAATACAGCTGAACAGCATTTACTGTACAAATATTAGAGTAGAGGTCAGTAACCACGCTGCCTATGGCAGGAGTTCCTTAAAGACAACCTCTGGTCCAAACAGAAACCTTTGTTATAGTTTTTATAGAATAGCCCAAGGGCGGACTGACCATTCAAGCACTGCCCGAGGGCCTGGGGTCAGTAGGGGGCCCCATGAGATGCCCTGGATACCTTACATAGGCTTTTTTGGGTGTGGTTTGAGTGTTGGTGAGGACACAGGGGCCCCATGATTTCCTATTGCCCGGGGGACCCATGAGTTGTCAGTCCGCCCCTGGAATAGCCATTTGGATTTTTATATATAACCTACTAATTCTGTCTCCGTTTCTGAATTTGCAAGGGCAGGAAAATTCATGTACACTAATGTCCTACACTAGACTGGAAAGATTTAAGATCACATTGCCAAAAGGAGCCCTATTGTGTAAGCCTGCTCACAAAAGTACAAAATTAGGATTGGAACCTGAATACTGTAGGAAAACAAAGGTAAGACCCAAAACATAGGTGGAAACTGCAGGTATATACACGAGAACTCAGGAGGTGCTACAACTAGCAGACTTGCATGCAGCAAGATACATATGGTCAGGATGATACATAAATGGATATGAAGTGTTGAATAGTGACCGAGACATGATTCTGCTCAAAACGTATGTATAAGGAAAACAGTGCTGTTGAGCGGTAGAGGTTATGTGTAGTAGGTGTCAGCGCTCCTTTGTTCTGGTCTTCCTGGTCACCACAGCCCAGATACCTTCTCTCTCTTGGGCAGGGGCAAGTGCAGCATGAAAGCCAAGCCAAACATTCTTGTGTGTCAGTGAACAATGAGAGTCCTGAGGGCAGTCAAATTATGCATGCACATCCAACATTCCTCAGCAGTCTATGGCTAGTATACCCACAAGTATGATGCTTCAGACTAGGCAATGGGAGTGGACTGGATACCAATATTGCAGTATAGGTTAACCCACCTCCCTTCCTATGATCTCTTCTAGGCTGAGCTTCATGGAGTCAGAACTTATCCCAAAAGTGAACTGTACATGTGTAACAGAGGATGTTTATCAACAAGGCCCTACTTGCCTTAAGCCTCGTTCACACCATACTTGCAGAAAAACTGATGGAAACTGAACTGCAGATTTCACTTTTTCACATAAGTTTTTACATCAGTTTTCATGCACGCTTCAATGAGATTTATACACGTTACAGATTTGTACGCAGAAAAATTCTGCACGTGATACTATTGTCGTGGTGTGAACAGGGCACATAGGGAACAATTGATTTCTTTGTGCCCTTGCAGAATGCATGCAGAAAACCTGACGTCTCTGCACCATGGTGTGAACGAGCCCTTACTGAAGATCGTTCCTTACTGAATTTCAGCAGTTATCAATAAGTAACTGGCTCATAAATGGCACAGAAAGAGTAGGGGAAAAAAAAAAAAAAAAAAAAAAGAAAAACCAAAGAGGCAGAAATCATGATCCAGAGCATTTGGCGATTTGCTATATTTAAAAAAAAAAAAAAAAAGTGCATTTGCACAAGTACTTGTACACGTGCAAATGCTCTAATACGATGGCTCTATTCACACTTGTCATGCAACTTTAGTGTCCAAAGTTGCATGACATTTTGCACAAGTCATACCCGATGTTTTTTAATGAAAACAGTTCAAATATGTACGACTCAACGGTGTTTTTCAGTAGTTCATGCACTACTTTGGTATGACTTTCATTCATGTTTAGTGCCAGTCAGGTATGAAGTTGTACCTGAATGGTATACATGCAACAGTTGTTCAATATCATTAATGAAAGCAAATGTATCTAAGTTGCACCCATCCAAAGTTGCATCAAAGTTGGACTTGAGTCATACAAGTGTGAATGGAACTGAAGTAGTGCGATTTCAAAGTGACAGTGCGGATTTGGAATCATGCTACTTCAGTGCGATTTCAAGCCAGAAATCAGTGCAATTTGGACATCTGATTTCATTGTGGCTTGTGAGTTCACTTAACAGAAGTCCATGTAAGGTTGCAATGAAATCACAAACGGGGTGCAACTTATGCAATTTTGAACTGACAAATATCATGGCAAATTGCACTGGTGTGAACTGAAAGCCCTGGTTCACATCACTGTGACTTTAGGTACGACATGTGATTTACAAAAAAAGTTGCATCTAATATATTTCTATGGCACTGTCTTAATAGGTGCGATTTCAAGTAGCGCCATTTGAAAAATAGTTCCTGCATTACTTTTTTCACTTCAGTGCCATTTAACTCTGACTATAACGTAAATGGCACTGAAATCGCACTTGTATCTATATCAGTGCTACTTTGAAATCGCACTTCCAAAATCACACCACTTTGACATCCCATTTTGTGTGAATCATGGCCAAAAAAAAAAGAAAAAGCATCCGAAAAGGGCAAAATAGGTATCGATGCTTATACTTGCTTTTAAAAAATTGTTATCAGTACACCCCTAGTTAAGAGTACTGAAATTTTTTTTTTTTTTTTTTTTTTTTTTTTAACATGTTTATCGTTACTGCCATTGTCCTTTCATGCATTCTCCTTTTTACTTGTTCTCGTTAACCATATTCTGAAGAAACTGTTCTTGCAGAATTGCAAATTAGGACTCCTCTAATGCATGTAAATGCATTAGCAATTTTATTGTATGTGTGGGGAAATATAAGCTCATATTTCCCCACAGTATGCAGGGGCAGCAGCAATCACACTTGAAAATATATCCTGTTATCTCTTCCTTCTCTTTCTCTATTCTTTGGAACACTTAAAAAATAAATAAGACCCTTGTCAATGCAAGTATTGCTTTCTTGCACTCCACCTGTCTACACTTGCCAGGGCCTGGTTGTTTGTACAGAGCATTATTTTCTGATTAGCTTTTAGAAACTTTTCCAGATGGTTTGTAAAAACATATTCAAATCAAATTCTGTTGGCTCTGCTGTTTCAGACCTGAACTTCCAACTTTCCCTTCATTTTACCTGTTCTCCTCTACATAAACCTGACTAATGGAACGCCAAGTGATGCCAAATTGATGCTTCCAATGAGTTCTGAAGCATTTGGCTGAATATGAGCAGATAATATTGCCTGAACACTTCAGAATTCATCCTGCTGCTTTTGTCAGCAGTCACATCATCCACAAATACAAGAGAACCAGTTCCATTGGAAGCCATACATGCCCATGCCATGACACATACCACCTCATCAGTGAAGCATGGTGGTGGTAGCTTAGGATCATGAGCAGTTTCTTTCCTTCTCCATACTCTTCTCTTCCCATCACTCTGGTACAAGTTGATCTTGGTCTCATCTGTCCATAGGATGTTGTTCCAGAACTGTGAAGGCTTTTTTTTAGATGTCGTTTGGCAAACTCTAATCTGGCCTTCCTGTTTTTGAGGCTCACCAATGGTTTACATCTTGTGGTGAACCCTCTGTATTCACTCTGGTGAAGTCTTCTCTTGATTGTTGACTTTGACACACATACACCTACCTCCTGGAGAGTGTTCTTGATCTGGCCAACTGTTGTGAAGGGTGTTTTCTTCACCAGGGAAAGAATTCTTCGGTCATCCACCACAGTTGTTTTCCGTGGTCTTCCGGGTCTTTTGGTGTTGCTGAGCTCACCGGTGCGTCCCTCTTTTTAAGAATGTTCCAAACAGTTGTTTTGGCCATGCCTAATGTTTTTGCTATCTCTCTGATGGGTTTGTTTTTTCAGCCTAATGGCTTGCTTCACTGATAGTGAGAGCTCTTTGGATCTCATCTTGAGAGTTGACAGCAACAGGTTCCAAATGCAAATAGCACACTTGAAATGAAGTCTGGACCTTTTATCTGCTCATTGTAATTGGGATAATGAGGGAATAGCACAGACCTGGCCATGGAACAGCTGAGAAGCCAATTGTCCCATTACTTTCGGTCCCTTAACAAGTGGGAGGCACATATGCAAACTGTTGTAATTCCTACACCATTCACCTGATTTGGATGTAAATACCCTCAAATTAAAGCTGACAGTCTGCAGTTAAAGCACATCTTGTTTGTTTCAATTCAAATCCATTGTGGTGGTGTATAGAGCCAAAAATGTTAGAATTGTGTCGATGTCCCAATATTTATGGACCTGACTGTATGTGAAAGCTTTACAGCTAAAAATTTAGAATCAGTACACCCCTTTGTGCCACACACTACAAATACTACAAAGAAGTACATTTTAGTACTGTGCCCATTTAAAAATGTACAATGGTCAGGTCTAATAAGCCACCCTTTAACAGTTTTAAGATGGATAATACATTTCATACATTGTATGTATAAAATGTTGCCGACATGCACATGATGGTAGCAAGCTAAATGTTGAATGTTTGTTTTTGTAAAATTGGAACTTATTATTGGTGTCAACACCTCCCTTGCTCTAACATAAATAACTCCAAGCAAAAATATTATTTGAAGAACTAGCTTTGGTTTAAGGAAACGATTACAAATCAAACTCATACATTCCATACATGCATGTGTGTAATATGATTTGCACTGTAATAACACAAAAGGAGTATATGGAGAAGAGATGGCAACTGTACTGAGAGAAATACTCAGGTTGCCATCACCGAAGTACTGATCAAATAAATTATGAGAACATTAAGCACCAAATTTTAACTACACAAACATTTTTACATACCGAGTACTCTTTGTAATGGTCCGTAATGCGCTGGCGTTCTTTTTCTTGAAGAATGACGGAGTACTCTGCATGCTTGGTTGGGTACTCCTTTATCATAAGGTCAATTACTTCATCACTTCGTAAAGCTGTCAGACCTTTAAAAAGGGCAAGGGGAGAGGAGTCTAATGTTCTAATAGTCCAACCAGAGTGAATATAATACCAGATTTTAAAATGCCAAGAGTGTGAGTTATGATCTGCCAAGAGTCCAAGTAAACTGTACTTTGTCCAAGCAGAGCAATGTAACAGGTTCATGTTAAAGCCAGCCCCTGCAGCATCTTATATCTTGCTTCCCTTCACTCCCCCACTGCTCCACTTGTAGTTAAAAAGGAGAAAAAAGCCCAGCGTAAGCTTCAAGACAATGTCAGTCAGAGCTTTCAGAAGGCAGGGAAGGGTCTCCCTGCCCCACGTGATAGCACTGGTGTTTAAGTAGCCAACTGTTAAGCAGTAATGTCACATGAAAGAAAGGGAAGTGGGTCACATGACCCGCTATACCTGGAAGAACCTGGTGTTAGTCTTTGCTTCCAGCATTGAACAGATCAGCAAGGTAGCAAAAGAAAGGAGGGGAGGGAATGCAGAAGGAAGGCTTGGGCATTAACGTAAACCTGCTGCTTTGTGCTGCACAGACATAGCAAAAGGTATATTCTCAACAACTTAACGTTACAGTTAAAGAACTCCAGTCTAAGCAATAGACTTTATTTTGATTTATATTGCCAGAGTTGTTAAGTTTTTAAACAATTAAGAGGTTATTCATTTTTTTTCTCTTCTTAAAATCATTAAGAAAATGTAATAATGATTTTCTCTTGAATGAAAATCAAAATAATATATGTGTTCGTACGCAGCCCACCACCAACAACCATGTGAATCTGAAGAGGAAAATCACATTTTATTGCATTAACCATTTGAAATATAGGAACCGGCTTAGTTTTTTTTTTTCCTGTAAATAGAGTTGCTTTTGGATCACGTGGTTAGAAATGAGTGCTCAACTGTGTAAAATTGTCTTCTATGTAGAAAGATGGAATAAAGATGCCCTTGGCTTCTAGAAGAACAAGAGTTTACTGGGTGTCAAGTCAAAGAATGGTAACTGGATAACAACGAGTGGGGGGGGGGGGGGGGGGGAGCAGATCGTGTTTTGCATGTAATATACTTCAATGGACCAGCACCAAACAAAAAAAAACAAAAAAAAAAAAAACAAAACAAGTGTTGCGTTTATGATGCATTGCGCTTTTTCTTTTTTGGGCCAATAATAAAGTATGACACTTCTGTACACGTGATGAGACATTGATCGGACTTTACACTCTCTGGCTCTCAAGTAGCATCAACGTCGCACTACATGAACAGAACTGTCATACTTTTTCTATTAGCCAAGAAAACCCCACAAAATGCATCAAAAGTGCAAAAAAAAAGAAAAATGCACCAGCTGCAACCTGCAGAGATGCGAACATAGTGTTAAAGAAAAACTAAACTAGCAGGTTTGGTGAAAATTAAACAGGTTAATACCTGCCCGCACCACCAAATTCTACTTCACTGAAGAGAAAAGCTCGCTAAATATCTGCAGCGTCTGGCACACTTCAGGGTGTGTGGGATGACTAGAGGACCCCCCCCCCCACTCCCCCAGGCCCTACATGACTACAGTATCAAATGATAACAATGGGGTCAGAGAAGGAACTACAGAGTGCCATAGGGGATGCTGACATCCAACACCACTACCAGTGTCAAATGTTTTAGACATTTTCAGTAAGCTTTCCTCTTCAGTACAGCAGAGTTCGTACCAGTGCCACAACAGGGCAGGTAAGTATTCACGCTTTGCAAGAAACTGCTATTGAAAAGGTTTAAAAATAGTGACAAGGTCATCTTAAGACATTATAAAAAGTAATAGTAGTACTTTGCATAAAGTCTCATGACAAGTCGCAACCCATTTCTTGAATGGCACCTGTTCCAGTCTATGCGACTAAAAAAAAAAAAAAAAAAAAAAAAAAAAAAAAAAAAAAAAAAAAAAAGGATACCTGCACTACTCTGATGCAACTTCAATGCGACTTAAGGGTCCCATGAAAATCGCACGACTTGCACTAGTGTGAACCGAGCCTAAAAGGGCTGGGATGTGTGGTGTAATTCAACTCACACTATATCCGTTAACAGCTGAAAATGCTTGCTTTATGATATCTTGTCTGCTGGAAGCAAGAAAGAAAAGGGGCTTCATAACGTCTATGAACAGAATCTGTAAAGACGTTAACATCCTCAACAGGAAGTGTGAGCTATTCATTGAGAACTGAGATGGCAGGATCCACTTCTGGAATAAACAAATCCTTTTCCATATAATAAATATTACTAAATTGTGTATTTTCTATAGTTCTCCTTTAAACTACTTGTCTTATTCAAATTTCCTCTTATTTTTTTTACTCAGCTTACATTTGTGCTTAGAGATAGGAGTGGTAAAGCACAGTCATTACATAGTACTACTGTGCAAGGATATGTGTGTGTTCATGTTAAGTACAATTTAATCAACGTCTTCCTGACCAAAACTCCCCAATAACCCCACCAATAACCCCACCCCAACTGTTTACTTACCCAAGAAGGGCAGCATAACCTACTATGATGTACACTAAAAGTGCCAAAAATAATGGGATGCCTGCCTTTACATGCACATGAACTTTAATGGCATCCCAGTCTTAGTCCGTAGGGTTCAATATTTAGTTGGCCCACCCTTTGCAGCTATAACAGCTTCAACTCTTCTGGGAAGGATCATTCCTCCAAAAGCACATTTGTGATGTTGGACGAGAAGGCCTGGCTCACAGTGTCCACTCTAATTCATCCCAAAGGAGGTCAGGACTCTGTGCAGGCCCGTCAAGTTCCCCCACCCCAAACTCGCTCATCCATATATCTTTATGGACCTTGCTTTGTGCACTGTGCGCAGTCATGTTGGAACTGGAAGGGACCATCCCCAAACTGTTCCCACAAAGTTGGGAGCATGAAATTGTCCAAAATTACTTGTTATGCTGCCAACTTAAGAGTTCCCTTCACTGGAACTAAAGGGCCAAGACAAACCCCTGAAAAACAACCCCACACCATAATCCCCCTCCACCAAAATGTTACACTTGGCACAATGCAGTCAGGCAAATACCATTCTCCTGGCAACCACCAAACCCACACATGTGCATCATATTGCCAGACAGATAAGCATGATTGGTCACTCCAGGGAACACGTCTCCACTGCTCTAGAGTCCAGTGGCGGCGTGCTTTACACCACTGCATCCGAAGCTTTGCATTGCACTTGGTGATGGAAGGCTTGCATGCAGCTGCTCAGCCATGGAAACCCATTATATGAACCTCTCTAAACACGTTTGTTGTGCTAATCTGAAGGCCACACGAAGTTTGGAGGTCTTTAGCTATTGACTGTGCAGACAGTTTGCGACTTTTGTGCACTGAGCTTCAGCATGCGCTAGCCCCCACTCTGTTATTTTTTTTTTATGTGGCCTACCACTGTGGCGGAGTTGCTGTTTCCAGTTGCTTCCACTTTTCAACAGTTGACCTTGGAATATTTAGCAGCAAGGAAACTCACAGATGGACTTATTGCACAGGTGGTAACCTATCACGGTACCAACATTTGAATGCACTGAGCTCCTGAGAGCGACCCATTCTTTCACAAATATTTGTAGAAGCAGTCTGCAGGCCTAGGTGCTTATTTTTATACACCTGTGACCATAGAGGTGATTGGAACACCAGAATCCAATGATTTGGAGGGGTGGCCCAATACGTTTGGCAATATAGTGTATATATCATCTGGAACAAACCTTCCATGCAGCTAGACCCCCCCCCCCCCCCCCCCCCCCACTCCTAGATTAATATGGTACGATCTCCCAGAATGGAGACACTCCATAGATGGTGCTATACAAATCTGTGTGGCCTCACTGTAAGGAAGAACTATCCACAAAATATAAACATTGGAGCAGGCAATGCCTTTCCTATTCCAGTAAGTAAGAAACTTGGGAAGGGAAAGAGAGGCTGGGTTGTTTAGCTCAGAATGCTAAGAAAGCTGGGCAAGTGTTAATTGAAACTACTTTTACCATTAAAATAAGGAGCCAGAGAAGTTTATCAACTGGCAATAAAGAAATTGTACATTTTCTATATGTTGGCTTTTTTGAGATTTTTCTTATAGTGATCAGAGATAGTAAATATTATTTAGGCCCCTTTCAAAGGAGTTGACTCCACCAGCAGACCCACCTGCTCAGCAGGGGATCTGTCTGCTGATCCCTACTGAGCAGGTCCAAGGTCCGTGTCTGCTCCGCTTATGCAGAGCAGACACAGCCCACTGTCTTTTAAGGGCGGTTGGACATAAAAGGACCGCCTGTCAGTTTACATCCGAATGTCAACTGATCCGCTATACGGACGGGGAACAGATCCTCCACCTGTCTGGTTTTTAGCAGATCAGATTGGATGCAGGCGGGCATAAAATGGACATGTGTTCGTTTACATCCACTGCTCCATAGTGGGTAATGGATGGTCTGATCTGGTCTGCCTGAAAACACGGACAGGCGGACCCAATAGGTGCGCCCGCGTGAAAGGGGTCTTAGTTTAGCTTACCTGTATATTTTTGTATTCTGTAAATACAACTTGAAAAACATGCAGGAAAAGCATGGTCATTTTAAAACATTTAACTCCTGACAAACATTCTCATATTTATATGCCACCTAAATTGTTGTGGCCACTTGCTTTATTGGATTTGGACTTTTGTCTTGCATTATTATAGCAATTTATGCAGCAATTTGCATGCTGTACATTCGCATTAGCCCTCAAGAAGTGTACAGTACAATCTAATCTCACGTGCATACAACACACAAAATTAACCTACCAGAATGTCTTTGGAGTGTAAGTACAAGCAGTTCATGCAATTAGAGTCCTAGCCAAGATTTGAAACGAGGAACCCAATGCTGCAAGGCTGAAATGCTAGCCACTAAGCCATTGTGCTGCCCAGTTATAAAACATCCTGTGTTCAAGAATGACTCTTCACAGCTGAGCTTAGGACTATGGTATCTTTATAGTTACCTAAAGTACACTGAGTTTCCGTAATAACATTTAGTTCTCGCAGATACAACTTCTCCTTGTGCGACAGATCTCTTCGTTCTAAATCTGTAAGAAACGGAAGCATTCATGTTAAAAAGCAGTTCCAAGGCAACAAGTGAAAGAATTTAGTGAGATACCAATGCCATCAAGTAAACACAGCAATTGTGCTAAAGTCAAAAGGTTCACCTTATTTATCTTTCGGCCCCATTCACACTATGTGTTGCAATGTGTTAATACAACATTTGCAGCACACCTCAATGTGCTGCAATAAAAAGGTTAGCAGAGCATCATATTGCATGGAAAAAACAATAACAAAAAACATATTGCATGTGCCATTTTATTTTAGTACATTGTACTTTCCTGTACGAGTGCTGTTCAGAGGATTACTCAGATGGAATGTGGATATCAAGACAGAAAATTACAAGACAATGTGAAGCTTCAGTAGAGATCTTTTCACCACTGTGTCAGTAGAAAGTAACATGAGACCCTAGGTGTGGCTGCCCCTGTTTAAATATACATTTCTTTTTCGCTCACTGAGGGACACTTGACATTAACACTTAAAACTCTACTACTAACATGACAACTGTTTTTGTTAGTGCCCAACAGCAAGGGGATCTTTTTTTTTTTTTTTTTTTTTTTTTTTTTTTACCTAAATCAAGCCTCTTCTCTACATCATTGCTGGAACCGATCTGAGTCTCTGTGTTACCTATGATACTAAAGTAAAGGAAATATTCTCTCAAGGTTGAACTTTGCATGCGTAGATCAGCTTACAGTGCCGGGCTGGCCTCTGAAGTCTTGGATGACTAGCACCTGTGCATGCCTCGCTGAACAATAAAAAAGGCCTGAAGACCGGCACTCAGAAGATGCCGGCGAGGGACCACTGGACCAAGTATTCACCCTTCACTTCCTCTAACTGGTGGCTTTGTACTGCAAAAATCCTTTCTAGTTCTGCATAGACAAAGGGGTCGATTTATTAATGGCTAGTAGACTGTTCATTTTACAAAGGAAGTTGGCTAGAGCTTAGTGAATGAGATGAAGACCTACAGATCATTCAATCATGTGCAAGCAAATATGCAATTTTTTTTTCTATTTTCCTTGCACATGATTGGGTATTCTTTGGCATATAGGCTGTTTACTTTGCAAAGGAATTTTCCCCAGAGCTTAGTGAACGAGTGCATTCAGGCTTTGCAGAGCGGTGAGCTGTGGGAAATGTCCCTGCTCCTGTGTGCCACTACTGAAGAGTGGTATTGCAGGTTTTTAATGCAAGTTTTTATAAACACCTTTGATTGTAAATACAAAGAGCACCGTTTTCCTATTCTTTCCTTGCATTACTGCACCCAGTTGCATTACTGGGTATTTCATTGAGCTGGCTACTTTGAAGCTGTGAGTTCAATCCTCCATTAAAGCTCATCTCAACTGTTTAAAAAGGGACCCTGCCTTTTTGACCCTTTATAATTATAAGGTCCAACACGGAAGGTAAGCGTTTGTCCACAAAGCCGATGGTGGTGGAGTGAACATGTTTGCACTTTTATTTCCATTTAACGAATGCTGGATGGTCACTATTAAAGTGTTACTAAACTCAGGACCCTGCATTCACTATATCTGGTCTCCCACGTTGCACAGAACATGGAAATGCAATTATTTTAGTAGATATAAACTGCTAAATACCTTTTCTCATCAGCAGTTAGAGCAGTCTTGTGACTTCTATCAGTGCCCAGCAGAGCACTGGTTAAATCCAGAAGGAGGAATTTTCATTCTCCCCTTACTGTCCCACGAGGCTGCATAACTCCTGACCTCTGTCTAGACAGTGCTGATCACATGCACCCCCCACAAAAAAAAAAAAAAAAAAAAAACACTAAACTGAGGAGGACAGTAGAAGGGGAGGATCAGAGAAGACATGATCAAACAGCATTTTTACACAGTGCAGATTAATCCATTAGGCTCCACAGTGAGTATAACCAGCATGCTTTACGGAATAGAGGAAGATGAAAGAAAGAGCGCACAAACCTTGCGCATTACCTCAATAAATAGTGACTAATTTTATTAATAAGGAAACATACTCACAAAATGATTGTATAACAGGCATAAGTAACCATAATCCAAACAGGGTTACAGGTAAATCAAAAAAAGGGGGGGGGGGAATGAAGGCTAACGCGTTTCGAAGGGTGCTCCCTTCACCAGAGCTGGGTTTGGCAGACAGAAACTTCAGTATGGCAGAGTTCCCATGGCAAGGAGATATTCAGCCACTGAGTGTCATTATACAGCAGTTTTTTTTTTGTGTGCTTTACGGAATATACAGAACTGTTTTGGGTTTAGAAACACTTTAAAGACTGGTTGAATGGACTCCATTTAATTTTCAATTACTTTCTAATATTTTACCACTTATTTGAACTGCATTTAAGAGTTGGTTTAAATACATTTAGTTTTGAGCACATTGGTTTCAACACTGAACAGTATTTTGCAGTGCAGTACCATTTTTTTCCCACAATTGAGTGACATAGGTCCCAGGATCATGCTCATGGCACTGCTTTGCTACAAAAAAAAAAAAAAAAAAAAAAAAAAAAAAAAAAAAAAAAAAAAGGCATGTTGGTAGTGTCCAATTCTCCTGTACCTGGCATTATAGCCCGAAAGTTTAACCCGTTTGCTTCCGGGTCTGTACGTCATACAGCCTTGACACCAGGGGAGGGTGGGGGGGGGGGGGGGTTCACATACACTCCTGATGGCTGCAGTCACCATAATTCTGTGTACATCTGACAGGCAGACTGCTGCCTGTCAGACAGAAGCATTGTGACAACTGTGCTTCTACCCAATTGCTTCCACACACCCATGGTAACGTGCAATCTGCATTGCATTACATTCAGTGGAGCACAGGGGAGACCCCAGATGTCTCCTAAAAGAGAACTTGTCACCAAACAAATCATCACGTAGGAGGGCTTTTTCTCCCCTATGCAATGAAAAGAGAGTTAAAGTGTTAATAAACCCACAACAGTAAAATCAATCTGTATATGAAGTAAAGCATGCTTGTTATACTAACTGTGGAACCTAAAGGGTTAATCCTCTACATTGTGTAAAAAGGCTGTTTCATCCTTTCTTCTCTGCCCCTCCTCTTGTTGAAATGACCACCTGATACAGACTGAACCCATAGTCACAAGCACATGCTCATGTTTGGTGTGTATTGCTAGAGAGGTTTTTTTGTTTCTTGGGAGAGTGCATGTGATAAGCAAAGGGCCAATCTACACTATCCAGACAGAGGGTCAAGACTTCCTGTGTCCTTTTGTGGACTACAAGAAAAGGATTTTACAGTGAGTACATCTCATTTTACAAACTGAACAATGACATTGATAAAATTTACTTCAAGCTACTCTATAAGCAATTACACAGAAAACATTAAAAACATTTAAAAAAGACTATATAACCTCTTTAAACATTTCTTTCTTTGCATGGGATCACATCTCATTACCTGGGTATTTGCGTTTAAAGGAAGTGACACCCAAATATTCACTGACTTGCTCTTGTAACATATAGTACTCCCCTGTTTCATCTGATGGCCATTTATATTCAACTAGATTTTCTGCTGGGAAATAGCTGGAGCTGATGGGGGAGAAAAAACAAAAAACACACATACATGTTATTTTAATTATTATACAGGATTTATATAGCGCCAACAGTTTTGCTCAGCGCCTTACAATATAAAGGGAGACAATACCGCAAAGATACAGTTCAATACAAGAGGGCCCTGCTCCTTGGAGCTTACAATCTTATATGAAAATAACCTATGCAACCAATGAACAAATCCACACACAGATATTGAAGGCGAAGCACAACCAATGCATCTCAAATTTGTATTGCTCTCTTTGTCCCACTCCCTCCATTTCCTGTCTGATAATCACTAAGACAGAAAGGGAGAAAAGATTCAGCCATCAACTTTCCTGTGGTCCCGACAAAATCCATCCCCATCATGTCCAATAACCCCGCTAAAAAAAAAAAAAATTACTATTTCTGTTGTCACAGGTTATAAGATTTTAACAAGGCAATGTAAAAATAAATAAATAATTTATATATATATATATATATATATATATATATATATATATATATATATATACATACACACACACACAAAACTCCGTCCCCCCCCCCCCCCCCCCAAAAAAAAAAAAAAAAAAAACACACACACACACACACACACACACACACACACACGATTGGATGCACTTGCTGTTCAGACCACCATTATTCCATCTAGCGCCTTTGATTGTAGCCCTGGTTCACACTGTGCAAGCTGCTTGTGGGTGTGGGAAAAGCGACCAAATCGCCTTGCTCCTAGGAGATGCGCAAGTCTGCCATTCATTCTGAATGGCACCTTTATGCCTCTCAGCCCACAGCACGTTTGCAGGTGTAAGAACTGCAAGGAAATTGCATGGTAAAAAAGACTATGTGGTTTCCCTGCAGCTGCATTTTTAAAAAGAAGCATGCATTTTTTTTTTTTGCAGAAAACACAGGCATGACAGCCAATTGAAATGAACGCGCTGCCATGCCCAGGCAAACACGTGTGAACCAAGCCATAAAGTTTAAGTCTGTGAGCCAGGTTATGTTGACAGGACCACCCATGGCTCAAAATTTGTCCAATGCAGCAGGCTGAAATCAGTTAGGACATCTTTAGAGAGTACAAAAAGGAAAGTTCTCCTTATACCATTATGGCCAGTCACATGCACACTATGGCAATAGCTTCTATACCACCCATCTATCCCCCCCTTTCCAACCCAGTTTTAAAGGATAAGTTCAGCATTTAATAAAACGTAGTTAGACTTACCGGAAACTTTATTTCCAATAGTCTTCCAGGACAGCCCATGAGACGTTGAGCTCCACACACAGAACAGGAAACATGTTACCCCATTCAGAATAAAAAGGTGGTCCTCCAGGCCCCTACTTCCAGTATATTCAAGAATCGAAGGATGGACCTGAAAAACAAAACTACAGACAGCATAATCAAAAGTAAAGGGTGGTAATCCGGCTTTCCTGGAAGATTCTTGGAAATGGAGTTACCGGTAAGTCTAACTCCGGTTTTCCCAAGTCGTCTTCCAGGACAGCCCACAAGATAAGCAAGAACTTACCGCCTGGAGGACCTTATGCCCAAAAGCCTGTTCCTGACTGGTCATTAGATCCACACAATAATGTTTAATAAACATGGAGAGGCTTGATCAGGTAGTCACCCTGCAACAGCCCTCTCTACCCAGGAAGTGAAAAAGGCCCTTGTGGAGTGTGCATTAACAAAGAGAACCGGCTGGTCTCTAACTTCATATAATAGACTGATGGCCTGTTTAATCCATCTTGCAATAGTGGCTTTGGATGCTTGCTTTCCCTTGAGTTTTCTTACAAAAAGCACAAATAATGCATCAGATTTCCTGTATAGTTTAGGCACATCTAGAGAATATAGGAGACATCTCCTGACATCCAAAAAACCGAAGTTGCTTTCTCTTTCACTGTTTGGAGAGGCACAGAAAAAAGGCAAAACAATATCCTGTGCTCGATAAAAAGACGAGGTGACCTTAGGCAAGAATCCTGGGTCAGTCTTAAGGATCACTCTATCTTCAAAAATCGACATAAAAGGCAGCCTAATCAAATGAGCTTGAAGCTCACCAATTCTTCTGGCTGAAGTAATGGCTATGAGAAAAACCGTCTTTAGGGTCACAATCTTAATGGATGCCTCCTGCAGAGGTGCAAAAGGACTGGAACGCAATGCCTGCAAAATCAATGACAGATCCCATGAGGGACAGGTTCTGACTTGGATAGATTTCATCCTGGAAACCACTTTAAAAAAAAAATTTTGGAGACCATGGAGTTGTCCATAAGAAACTATTTGAGAAAGGCACTTAAAGCAGCTGCTTGAACCCTCCAGGTGCTGAGAGACAACCCTTTATCTAATCCTTCCTGAAAAAACTCCAGGATTGTCTGTACCAAATGGGACTGACTTCCCCTGTTCTTCCATCCAGGAATTAAATTTTCTCCATACTTTAAAGTAAATGGCTCTTGTAACTGGCTTTCTACAGTTCATGAGTGTGGCCACAACTTTGTTAGAAAAACCCTCTCCCTTCAAGACTTGCTCTTCAGGAACCACACTGCTAGTCTTAACATCTCCAAGTTTGTGTAAACTACTGGGCCTTGAGACAGTAGATCCTTCCTCACTGGAAGGAAAAATTGGAGGGGTGACTGTTAAGGATTGAAGAACAGCAAACCAGGCATGCTTCGGCCAATATGGGGCCACCAGAATTAAATTTGTCTTTTCCACCAGAAACCTCTAATACTAGCGGAATTAGCCTGAAAGGCAGAAAAGCATAAATTAGATTGTAGCTCCAAGGATTTGCCAGAGCATCTATACCTACAGCTGCATCTGCTAAACTCAGGAGAAAAAAAAGTTTTGGTCTTCACATTCACTTGAGTGGCGAAAAGATCCACTTCTGGCTGCCCCCAAAGAGTTGTGAGCCAGGAGAAAAATTTGTTGTTGAGGCTCCACTCCTCCTGACTCACCATCTGGCAACTTAGAAAATCTGCCAGAATATTCTGAGTGCCCTTCAAATGAACTGCTGAGGTAGAGGCAAGATTCCATTCTGCCTACCTCAGTATCCTGTCTGAAATTGCCTGCAGATTCGAACTACTTCTGCCCCCTGCCTGTTGATATACACCGCAGTGGTACTGTTGTTTGAGAGTACCTGGAGATGATGCCCCCTCAGTAGAGGCTGAAACACTTTCACTGCTCTTTGGACCGCCAACAACTCTTTTTGATTCGAAGAGGCCCTGGCTTCGGTCCTTGACCACTGTCCCTGCGCAAAATCTTGCTCCCCACCCCCAGGAGCTAGGGTACATTCTTATTCTCCTGGAAATAGGATAAGTCCACTCCAGCCCTATACTGAGATGAGACCTCATTCTCCACCACCACTGGGATTGCCTGACCCTGTGGGGAAGAAGAAATTAGGTCCTCAGGGTGTCCCTTGAACCGTTCCAGGTTTTGACTAGGAACATTTGCAATTTTCTATGATGAAAATGAGCCCATGGAACAGCTGGGAAGCATAAGGTTATGAGGCCTACTGTAGAAGACATTCATTGATGCAACAGGGAGATTCTATTGTAGTCCCACTACCCGATATATCATTTTGCTATATTTGTCCTCTGGAAGAAAAATCTTTTGACTGACAATGTATTCTGATAGTCTTGGAGGGAATCAGATTTGATTTCTCCCAATTGATGAGCCATCCAAGGCACTGCAGATGATTCTGAGTGATCTTTAGATGCTCTAACAATTCCTGATGGGATGGGGCCAAGAGAAGATCGTCCAAGTAAGGGATGATCAGAATGCCCTTTTCCCTTAATGGGGCTAATGACTCTCCCAGCACCTTTGAAAAAAATCCTTTGAGCCAATGGCCATCCTCAGAAATTTCTGACATGCCGCATGAAAAGGGAATGCAGTGAAAATTGACTCCATCTGAAACAGCTTGTACCTCACTGACCTGTTTAGGGGTTTTAAATTCAGAATTAGTCAGAACTTTTTTTACAACAAAAGAGTGCGAGAAAAACCTCCATCCCTTTCCAGGTGTGGTACTGGGATCAAAATCTTCTGATCCACCATCTTTCTAATTAAGAGATACAAGGCTTTTGCATTCTCCCGATTTTCGGGAAAGCCTCGTGAAAAATAAATAAATAAATCTTTGAAGCGGAATTGAGTCGAATTCCAGTCTGTATCCCTGACCTATCAGGTGAAGCATATACTGACTGGAGGTAATGTTTTCCCAGTTTGAGAGGAAGTCCCCCAGTCTTGCTCCCACAGGCAAAAGAGCGTCATTGTGATTTTGGGGGGCTTTGAGGATTGAATAAGATTCCTTTTTTACCTTACCCCTTGTGACCAGATCAATGCCTTTTCAGCCTAGGGTCCCTGTCACTGCCTTTGGCCATGAAAAAAAAAAAAAAACCTTAAACCTGTGTTTTTCTTCTTTTCTGGAAATGCTTTCTTCCTATTGGGTGTATTTTCTAAGGCCTCCTGTAACCCTGGGCCAAAAAGATTATTCCCAGAAAAAAGGCAAGGTGAATAGATGCATCTTTGATGCAGTATCACCTGACCAGATTTTAAGCCAAAGCACCCTCCTGGCAGAATTTATGAGGGCCGCAGACCTAGCCGCCATCTTTACAGCTTCAGCTGAGGAATCTGCAAGAAAACCTGCCACCTTAATCAAAAGAGGGAGATTCTTCGCCATATCCTCTCAAGTACCCACAACCAGGTGTGACTCAAGTTGTGTTAACCAAAAATGCAAATTTCTTACTAAACAAGTAGCTGCAAGGGCTGGTCTGAGGTTAATAGTGGAATCCCAAGCCCTTTTAAAGGAAGAAATCTTTTTTATCCTTAAGAACCCCCATATCTTCAAATGCCAGGTTAGTACTGACACTTTTGAAAGTGGTGCATCCAATTTCGGGACCTTATTCCATGGATGCTGAACATAGTCATCAAAAGAAAACCTCCTTTTTAGGCTGTTAGAAAAGGAAGGCTTACGCCTGGGTTCCTTCCACTCCTAATGAATAGCATCAGTAAGGGATTTGTGAACCGGAAAAAAAATCTAGACCTCTTGATTTGTAAACCTTCATACATCAGATCATGTTTAGAGAGCTGAACTTTCTCTTCAATGTTAAGTGTTTCATAAATTGCTTTCAATAAGTCAGCAATATCATCCAGTGAAAGCTTGTATCTAGACTTCACAGGTACCAAACATTCCTCCTCTTCTTTGTCAGACTGGCCAACCTCTGGATCACTCCCAGAGGAAGAGGCAGCATGAGTCATTAAAAATTCCTCCAAGGCTTCTCCTCTGACCTCCCTGGCTGGAGAAGGCCTACTAGATGCCGCAGAAGTCTTCGGTAGAGTAGGAGAAGGACTTTTGAAGTCCGACATAAATGTCTTAATTGTTTTTAAAGTGCTAGCCAGTTCTTTTACAGACAACAGCTTAACACAAGTTGAGGTAGAATCCTCGTTAACCAGACTATTGATACAAGAACAGCATAAAGGCTTGTTCCAGGAGGAATTTAGCTTTGCCGCAAACACACAGGCTCCAGACCTTTGTCGTGAACTTTAGTCTGAAAAAAAATAAAGATACCCTCAGGAACTGCTCACTAGAAATCAACTCATTCCCTGTGCTTGTAGTGGGAAAAAGAAACGTGCCCCATCAGGTATAACCGAACACCAAAGGAGCTGTAGATGACAGTAAAAAACACTCACATTAATACAGCTAGGAGCCCTCCCCCTTGTATCCATCTCTGATGTACTGGTGCCTGAGGGTCCGAATTCAGCTGTAACCGAGGGTACTGCTGAAGACTCCATGACTTACCCTCCTGGAATCGCTACTGCAGCCTCTGCTGGGAATGATCCACCGCACACCAGCCACCCTCCATGCCTGCTTGGCACCTTTAAGGGAACCGGAACCAGCGTTCCCAGCGCCCGGAAATGACATCACATGCCCCCAAAAGTGAAGCCTCCGCTTCTTCCTGACCAGCTTGAATGCAAGGTCCCACCCCCTCCACCATACAGGAACGCTGGCCGGCTCCATCTAGCCCACACTAGGCAGGAGCCGCAGAAAAAGATGCCATAGAATACCTCCTGCAGAGGTTCCCAGTCCTGCACAGCCAAGGAGGACATGACCAGCCGCACACCTGCTTCTGGCAAGGGGGTAAGCGAACAACGGCCACGACTCACTCTGGTCCGACCCTCCCCTGGTCTAAAACAAAGCAGAAAGGCAAGGCAATACTCCTCTTTCCCCTAGATCAAAAGGAGATATTGCACAAAAGGGCGCAGTATACCAAATTCCAAAGAATCTATCAGGTTCTAGGAAACATGTTACCCCCGTCCAGAGGAAACACGAATACTGGAAGTAGGGGCCTGGAGGACCACCTTTTATTCTGAATGGGGTAGCGTGTTTCCTGTCCCATGGGAAGAACTCAATGTTTCATGGGCTGTCCTGGAAGACAAAAAAAAAAAATAATACAAAGTACATATTTTTGCAGGAAAAAATGTGCATTTATTATTTTTTTCCCTAAGAAGCCTGGAAGGTGTTGCACCCATAGTCAGTTGATTAGGGGTGCACTGCCAGACTCCTGCAGACAAGCTCTGCAGCTTTCAGCCTGTACCTTCATATGGGCTGACTGATTACAAGCCGCAAGGCTTGTGAATGAACTACGAAACCACTCATCAGCAACCCTGAAGTCCATTCAGAAATACAAGCAGTCAGCCACAAAAGCTAATGGTACTTGTACTGCAGATCAAGTCATTTAAAGGAAACTGAAAGATGTAATACCCATGTGGGCAGAGTGCTGCACAGCCACGTTATTCCAAATAGCGACAGCATGTGCCAGGGGAGAAGATTAGGGGGAGGCTGCAGCTGCTGGAATGTTACTTGTTCTGCCTTATATACAGGTGGAACAAAAGGTAAAACATACCCTTTTAACTGTTGCATTAAGTGGCATGCACAATAAACGTACCCAAAATCTTGATTTGAATTTTCACAACTTGGAGAACTTTCTCCAGATGCTGTTCTTCTTCTCTTCGATTGCTGACTTCCATCATTAGAAGTGTCCTCTGTTTCTCTGCCATCGTTAGAATTGTCTTCCTGAAGTACACAACAAAAAACTATAAAAGATCAAATATGCACATAAAAAAAATAAACTATGCATCACAGGGAGAGAGCTGATCACAGAAAGTAAAGCAGATATTTTTGGAAACATCACAAAACAGCTATATCTGTGCGGGGGGCGTTCCCGTCAGTCACAGCTGTACAGGCTCTACTCACATACTGACATTTCTTACTCTTTTACTGCACATGGTGAGCTTCTCACAGTGTGAGTTAGAAACTGTAGTCAGATACAGACCACCTCATTGCCTGCCTGGACGATGTCATCTAGCTCTTTCCTCCTCTACCACACTTGTCCCTGGTCTGCCACTTTCCTTCACTGTATTTCAGTTCTTTTATGAGTGAAGGCTCAGCATCACATGTGGGCATTACCTAAAGCGGTCTGCATGAAAATACAGTCTAGGAAAGCCCACTCCTCCTGAAAGACCTCTATCCATCAAGCAATTTTTAATCATGCACAACGCCAACCAAAAGCCAGCAAAGTGCTATGATGTTTTCAGGAAGCAATCTACAGTGCCCTGCCAGCAACTCCTCCCAGCTATGATCTGCCTGCCTTGCATAGAGAAGCACCGAGACCCAGTAAAGACATCAATGGAACTAATAAAACATTATGCAAAGAAAATTGAATTTTATTTAAAATGCCATGAGTCCAAAAAAATAAAAAAAAAAAAAAAAAAAAAAAAGGAGGAGAAACCAGGAAAGGCAAAATATAAGCAGAATAAACTTTTGCTTGAAGGTAGCTTTTTCATTTGCATGGCCCGTCTGATGCGCAAAAAAAAAAAAAAAGCAACTTTTTTTTTTCTCTTTAAACCACGTAGTGCACCATGACACACAGTATCAGTCAGAATATACGGTACCACAGAGCACAAATGCACATAGTGCATAGTGTAAACCTTCATGGTGATCCAGAAGAATCACCCAAATAATGTATTCTGTTACTCTGTAAGGTGAATAGCCAGGCTTCCGTTTATACACACACTAAAGTGGAACTGAAGGCAAAAAAAAAATTTAAAAATACCAACAGGTAGGCTCTATATTGCAGAGGAGACATGCAATAAAATACAATTACCTACCTGTTTGAGGTTCCCTGCAAAATGTACAATGAACTGCGCAGCTCAGTTTACATTCTGGCACACTGACAGATCAACACGATTAAAGACCCAGAGAGAAGATGCCACGAGGAACCTTGTGGACATTGAACCATTTGAGAATAGGCAAGTATGTGCCATTAGTTCTGCTTTAAAGTTCTTGTAAACACGCCTATATACCCATCGAAGTGCCTGGCTTCAGGTGATACACAGTTGAAAGAAATCCTCCTACATACAGTATGTTGTACCTGTTTATCTGCAGTCTTCTCTATATCAAAGTCCAGAATTTATAAAGCATGTCTGAGATTTCAGAAACGAGGGGGCAGATAGCTGAAATTACAGACTCAGTGAGGAGAGCTCTGACAGTTGGAGGAAGGGACCCCCCCCCCCTCCCGACACAGCACATGGGAAGAGAGCCGAGGCTGTCAATCACAGTCTGTGTGCTGGACGTCCCTCCCGTCACCTTTTTTCATAGCTCATGTCTGTGGTTTTAAACCACTTTAAAGCGGAGCTCCACCCAAAAGTGGAAGCTCAGCTTGTTTGCCTCCCCCCACTGCCATATTTGGAAGGGGGAGCGCGTAACTGGTTTTGACAGGTACCCGATCCCACTTCCAGCTCAGTTCGCTGCGGAGAAGTGAGCCGGAAGTTCGGCCCCCTCCTTCCTCCTGCAGTCTCCTGGGAGCCTTCACAGGTCCCAGAGGACTGCTGGACCAATCAGGAGGCGCAGCATGAGTGGGCATCCAGCTGTGAAGCCGCAAGCTGTCACAGCCTTGGGGCCCACAGTTGAGATGCCAGCGCCATGAAGAGAAGAAGAAAAAGGGACATCACTGGATCCTGAGACAGGTAAGTGAGTGTTTATTAAAAGTCAGCAGCTACAGTGTTTGGAACTGGAACTCTGCTTTAAGGCTACAATCAGACAGGTGATGAGAGAGAGAGAGAGAGGAGGCCGCTCAACCCATACATTATCCAATTTTCCATTAGCTTTACCAAAATCATACAATAAGAGGTCAAACGTAATCAGGTAAGCCCTTGCACTGCATAGCTAAAGGTAAATCTAAGGGAAATTGAAGAAAATGTTATAATGTATAGTCAGCTTTAGCCTGGGTTAACACCTGAGTGCGTGTGACCGCGCTTCTCTTCCGGTTTTTTTTGAGAGCATTTTGTATGCATTTTCAAGATTTTTTTTTTTTTTAGGTTGTAAAAACACAAAACCCTACTAAAAACACATCTGCATGCATTCCTGATGCACTTGCATTGAAGTTTATGGACCCCAAATATGAACATTTCTGCATGGAAAAAAAAAAGAAAAAAAAAAAAAAAAAAAAAAAAAAAAAGGGCCCTATACTGCTTCCAAAAAATGCACTACACGAAACTTCAAAGATATGAATGGGACCCACAGGAAACCATGGTAAATTGAGTGTTGTGCGTTCCTGCATTTCTGAAAACATGCTAAAAAAAATGCTGAGGGGGGGCTGCAGCCATTCATGACTGTTTTCACTACCAGCGATTCCTGCGCTGATCGTGGCTGTATGCATCCAAAATGCAGCTATTCACAGACACACACACCTGTCATTCCAGATGCAGAAATTCACAGATTCTTGCCACTGAAAGCTGCAGGGTGTGCTAATCACCAGTCTGAATAAAGCCTTAAAATTGGAGGACAAAAAAAAAAAAAAAAAAAGATAAAGCGCGCAGTATTTTGTCATTCAAAAATAAGCTTCCAGATCCCGAGGTATTCATTCACACAAGCCTGTAAGTTAAAAACACATGTGTCCTGGTGTATGATGCATAGAGGCAGGGGGGGTTAACGCAATATGGTGTTACAAATTGTGCAGTTTACTTTTTTTGTACTCTTTACAAAAATGGCACTCCATTCGACATCCCACCGCAGCACACTGTGGACATATGCAATGCACAGATTTGCGCTGCGTAAAAACCCCAAAATCCTGCACGTTTCTGCATTGCATCACACCTTAACGTGCCAATATGGTGTGAACAGGGCACATAAAAATTATTTCTATGGGCCCCTGCATTCATCTATGGCAGGAGTCTCCAAACTTTCTAAACAAAGGGCCAGTTCACTGTCCTTAAGGGGGGCTAGGGTCACTGGGAGTATAAAATGCCCCGCCCTCGGCCGGCACGGCCGGAGCCCGGCCCAGGCCCCCGGCCGGAGCCCGGCCCAGGCCCCCGGCCGGAGCCCGGCCCAGGCCCCCGGCCGGAGCCCGGCCCAGGCCCCCGGCCGACACCGGCACGGCTGGAGCCCGGCCCAGGCCCCCGGCCGACACCGGCACGGCTGGAGCCCGGCCGACACCGGCACGGCTGGAGCCCGGCCGACACCGGCACGGCTGGAGCCCGGCCGACACCGGCACGGCTGGAGCCCGGCCGACACCGGCACGGCTGGAGCCCGGCCGACACCGGCACGGCTGGAGCCCGGCTGAGGCCCTCGGGCGACAACGGCATGGCTACAGCCCCTTCATTCGTTTCAATGGAATGCCCCATTGTTGGTGTCAGTGGATGGAATAGTGTCTTGTATCAGTAGGAAGAATAGTGCCCCAAGGGCCAGATAAAGGCAAGCAAAGGGCCACACTTTGGAGAAGGCTGAGCTAAGTTGGTTGGCACATATACCCACAAGAAAATAAAAGTCTCATTTACCAGAACAGATATCCATGTCATGAATTGCCTCCTCCATACAATAGAATGTAACCTAACGTACAGCACACACTGTTGGCACCTTCTAAATCTTGCATTCTAGTGATGGAAAGGACAGAGCTGTTCAGGGATGAGGGAGCCGCAGACACACACTCCTTCCTCTCAGCACATATTCCAGGTAGAGGGAAGTCTCTGCCATACAATGACAACACACAAGTGTCAGCTATGACTGCACGGTGAGAGAGAACACAGGCAGCTCCATGGAGCGCACACTACCACACACAGCTCTCTCACCTTCAGGGAGGGGGGGGCCGGAGTGGACGGCTCACTATCACACGGAGGCCTCATCGCCGACAACACAGCGGCCATATTGGAGCCAGCACATGAAATCACAACAACGGGAGAGCAGTATTAAACAGACCCCTCCCCTACTATGCATTTGCTTCTATCGCGAACAAAAGCCACACCCACTATGCATTAGTCAACACAGCACAAGGACCCGCCCTTAGACAGACCTTATTGGGCTAAGCACCGCCCAGAGCCCAGCCCACTGACAATGTACAAGACGCAGGCGCAAAGCCCGCCATTTTACATGGAAGTGTCTGTGAGAGGAAGGTGGGGAAAACGCTTAGTAGAAACGAGCAATGACTGGTTCATTAATGTGTTCTTGGTTCATTGCAGCAGTGTGTAACTAGGAAGAGAAGGGAGTGTATAGAGACTGGAGCTGATAGAATGTGGAGCACCTTTCCTCAGCAATCAGATTTCAACTTTCATTTTCAAAGATTAAACAAACCAGCTGACGCTAGAAGCTGATTGGTTACAGTGCTCATATAATGTGCAGTAATTTTATAGTGGCTTTGTGTTATAGGTGTAGGAGGGCGTGTAAATCACATGTGTGCACACATCCCTAGACAGAAACGTGCTGCTATGTAGCAGACGTGCCATTTATTCTTAACTGTACCCCCACACATCTAAAAACTGGCTTTTTGGGTGCGTGAAACCATAATGGTGCTGCAGCTAGAAAACATGGGCAACATACAGCCTATCTGAACACCCCTCCCAAAAAAAAAAAATCAAATGATCACTAAAAGTACACTGCTCATAAAAATTAAAGACACTATTTAATCAGAGTATAGCATCAAGTCAATTAAACTCCTGGGGTATTGTGTCAATGAAAGAAACGAGGAAGCCCTGGCAAATGCGCCAATGCCCAATATGGCCACGCTAATTTGCGCACAAATAGGCACA